ACTCCCCCCCCCCCCCCTCTGTTGGTCGGGGCAACACGGGGGGGGGGGGGGGGAGTCCCGTCTTGAAGCGGAGCTACGAACTTCTTCCTGCTTCTCCGCGTTCAGAAGGAAGCGCTTTGTTGACTGCGAATGGCTTACAGAAAAGGCTGCAATGATGGTCACTGAAAATTGCAGAAGACGCGAAACGAGAAGCACCGACGTTGTGACAAGACGGGTCTGCCCGCTGCAGTCCTTACGGTCGGCAATTAACCAGGTCACCCGAGAAGTTAAGAAGGAAAGAAAGAAAATCCGAAAGAGGAATTGCCTTTATCAGGGCCACAACCGAAGTTAACGTCCACCCTTTTCAGCTCGTCAAAGCGGCTTCTAAGAGCTTGGATTTCTAGCCATCCCATTCCGCTGCCCCAGGGTTTACCTTGAGGAGCAATTGACTCAACAATATTCAAGTCTGGCGGGTGCCAACCACCACAAATTTCAGTGCGGTACAGTGTTAAGACGAAGAATTGTAGTAGCACGTATAGGCTGATATAACAACTGGCAGGAAACTAAAAAAAAAAAGCTACACCCACTATTTCTGATAAACCTTGCAACAGGAAATGCAATCTCTCAAGGGTCTAGAGGTGCTCCTTGTTGTTGTTCAGTCGTTAAGTCGTGTCTGAGTCTTCATGACCCCATGAACCATATCGCGCCAGGCCTTCCTGTCCTTCACTGCCTCCCTGAGTTTGCTCAGAGGTGGTCCTTACTCACCCCTAAAATAGCCTAAAATTATTAGGTCTTCCAATCTGGATTGGTGCTGTTCCACGTAGAACTCATCTGCACATCCTTCTTGTCCCAGCACCGAGGCAGCCTGTTTCTTGAGTATATGAACGCATGAACCAGGACCTCCATGGTAGAGCTGCCCACTCCCTACCTGGCTTTGCCGTGGCCATGCCAAAGTCGCAGGGCTATTCTTAACATTGTCCAGTGGTTTTCTGGAAGACGGCTGGTATGTGTCAACATGACATGTGCAACTGGCAGCAGTCTTCCAGGATACTGCTGCACACATGCACGGACCCCGCTAGTGCTGCTGGCAGCCTCACAGTGAAACCGCACATGGCTTCACACCTTGGGGGGGGGGGGCAGCAGGAACTGCAATGCAGACCCACAATGAAATCATGGGCAGCTTTATCATGGGAGGGTTAGGGTTCAAGCAGAGAAAGTGTTCTTTGAGGGTGGCGGTGGGAGTGTCATTCCACTGCTAGGAAAACTAGCAATGGAAAGACCTGTTTCTCTCTGGCTTATCCAGCCACCTGGGGGTGGGGGAGGGAAGCCAGGGAGCATGGGCCTTCTGCTGTGGGTTCTCTGAACGATGGCATGGTGATCACTTCCCAGGACTGGGGAACTGACAGCAGAAGAGCTGCTTCCCCCTTTTACCCCACCAGTGTTTTTCACCGTGGGTGGCAGAAGAGGTTGGGGGGAGACTCTTCCCTTCCCTCGTCTCTCTTGCCAAGGGTGGCAGAAGCAGGAGGGTGGGGAGAGAAGTGGCAGAGGGCAGTGTGCCAGTCCTTCAATCCTGGAACATTAAATGGCATTAAAATGGCTCTGTGGGATTAGGGAATTGGCACCAAAGGAGGCATTTCTCTCTGCCTCTCTTGACTTTCAGTACAGACAAAATGCCTACTCAGCGGTGTTGCTGTGTGAAAGGAGCCCCTAATAACCAGGGTGAAATGATGTTTAAGATGTTGGAGTTGCACTGGGGTAACACTCCCCTGGACAGATCTGGTGTGCAATTTGGGGGTCCTCTTGGACTCATGGCCCTTGCTGGAAGAGCAGGTGGCAGCCATGGCCAGGGAGGCCTTTGCACAAATCCAACTTGCGTGCCAACTGCGCCCATTCCTGGACCGGGAGGCCTTGCTCACAGTCACCCGTAACTTAGTTGCCTCCCATTTAGATCACTGCAATACGATCTACATGGGTCTGCCCTTGAAGACCATCCAGAAGCTGCAACTGGTTGAGAATGCAGTGGCACACAGTTTGGTGTGCCCCACAGTTCACCCAAGTAACACCACTGCTTTGTGAGCTGCACTGGCTCTCAGTTCCCAGGTGCAATTCATGGTGCTTGTTATCACCTTTAAAGCCCTACATGGCACAGGGGCAGGTTACTTGTGGGACCACCTCTCTCTGAGGGTATCTGTCTGTCCTACTAGGTTAGATAGGGAGGGTGCACTCCAGGTCCCCTCCCGTAAGTAAGTAAGTAAGTAAGTTTATTGTTATAACCACAGGTCATAACATAGCCCTCCCTTAATGTTGTCACCTGATGGGACCTCGGAGGTATGCCTTCTCGGTGGCCACTCCAGCCCTTTGGAAAGTCTCCCACCTGAGATCTGAGGGATCGTTTTAGCCTTCTGGAGGGCTGTGAAGATGTTTGGTCTGGCACCTGGGGGGGAAGGGTACTTTTGTCTTCAGCCATATTTTTATGGATAGTTGTGAGCCACCTAGAGTCGTTATATGAGATAAGCAGTCATATAAATCCTGAAATTAAATAAATAATTGCTGGGAAAGTCACATTGGAAATAGAAGCACCTCCTTGGGCTACCAGAGGATTAAAAAACCCAACAATTATCTCCCTGGAGAGACCAGACGTATGTTCAGGTGAAAGTCACCTTTCATGTTCACTTTTCCCCCCTGGTTATTATAGCAATAGGCAAACCTGCACTAAACAGAAATATTTTTCCCTGGCCTTCTTTCTTAGAGCATACTTAACAGGATATTAAAATGACTATGTTAGGAAACATGTAATCTCAGATGGTCCCTAAGCTTTTGAGTTGGTCTGTACAACTGGAATTTCGAGCAGATGATCTCAATCTGTTCCAAACACTGACCAGACTGTGCTTGAGCATCTCTCTAGTTCCACATCTGTTTCATTTTGTCTTTCCTGGGTAACTGGACAGACTTTTTTTTTTAAAAAAAAGCACAACTGGTCTGCAGTTGCCCGTCATTTTGATTTATAAAGCTTTTAAAACTTATTGGAAATAAAAGTGATGCTGGAGGGTAAAGATTTATTTACTTTTCAGCATGCCAGCTTCCCAATGCAAAAAGTTAATAGGCACATTGCTCTCCAGGACACTGGCAACTCAAGCATCAATACTTAATAAACTAGCACTCTGTCTCCATAGTAACAGGTATCAGATGGGAACATTTCAACCTGTATGTGAAGAGGGATATACTCATTCTCCTAAGACAGAGACCCTTGAGCCTACCCACAACACTCTGCCTTGAACAAATCACTGCTTAATGTTAGCCACCATACAAAGGTTATACTTTAAATCAGGTAACACATATAACTTTCATAAAATTGAAAATATTTAATCTCATCTATAGTGGGGGCAATATCTATTGAGCTGAGCCCCCAAATTCTTCATATCCCCAAATTTTATAACCTGTAGAAATCATGTAAAGCAATTAACCGAAATGTCTTAGCAAACAGTACAGTTTGAGGTTGAACTACATACAGGGTGGTGGCGGCATCATTATTATTATTATTATTATTATTATTTATTATTATTATTAT